AGGAGTGTCCCAAGTGACACTCCTGTTCATGACTCTCCAATAACATGCAAAGAATGAAGATGTAAAATCAAATGTCTATTCTAGTAAGTCAAAAGCCTAAAAGCAAATTGTACTCAGTGAATATACATATAGTGTGAAGGACCTGTTCATCATTAGGAAATGTGGGTCATCTAGAAGCTCCCCATAGTCTACCTGTATAATGTCAAAAATGCTATCCTGACATCTCCAGATTTTCTTGGGGTGGGGAGGGGTAGGAGAGCCCTGGGAATGGCTGCTGCCTGGATGGCATCCTACTGAGGGAGATTTCATGTCTGGAGATCTGAGAATGGAGATTTGGAGATTCACTTTCTCTTCATGAATGCTACAGTTCCAGAACTGAGGAATGGGGCTCTCTCCACTGATGCAGAACCTCAGCTTTGACTTTGGCTTCTAGGACTTTCGGTGATTTGGGGATGGGGGAGGAGATACGGGGAGGAATATGTCAAGAAAAGGAGCCCACAGGAATTATTTGCTGGCTTCATGTCACTTCTGCTCAGTAGTTCATAGAACAAGTATATACTTTTAAGAGTTGAGAACGCATTCTCTCTTGGTCTTGCTATTAGAGTCTGGAAAAAATTTCGTAACTTGATGATGACTTGGCTCACCAGGATGCCTTCCAGTTCTAATATGATGTTTCCTCTCACCAGCCCTGAGACCAGTATTTCTCTGAGGAGGCAGACGCTGTCCCTCTAGTTCCATTTGCCTAGCTCCATTTGAAAGTCTATGGCAAATTATTAGGGAGGTACATTGGTCCTTCAACAGGCAATTGGCTTAAATCTGGTCCCTGATATCTGGGGTGATAGAATCTCAGAATTTATGCTCAAGTTTTCTCTCTGAGCTATTTAGCCAGGACCAACTTTGAATTCTAAACTCTGTGGCTTTTTCTCAATGGTACCAATTCTGTTGTTTTAAGAGCCAATAAGGATCCCCAAGGGGGAGAGCTGCCCAAGGTCTCACTGTAACTGGTCTACCGTTTCATATGTGACACAGAATACCCAAAAATCTCTGCAGGCTTGATTTTCTACTTATTTTTATTCTACTTTATAGCTCTGCTATCTTCTTTTAGATTCTAACTTCTCATTTAGCAACTAAATATTTTCTATTATGTAGCGTTGCTATTTTCTTTTAGATTCTAACTTCTCATTTAGCTTCTAAATATTTTCTATTATGTAACTTGGCTATCTTCTTTTAGATTCTAACTTCTCATTTAGCTTCTAAATATTTTGCAGAATGGTTTCACATTTCACTTCAGTAAACCAAGAAACCCAGAAACATCCTAAACAAATGAGATGGCAACTAACTTTACCTTTAATGTCTTTTAATTTAAGGAATTAGAAATACATTTTCAAATTGTCTCCTTTTAATTCAGAGAAGGCCTGGGGGTTACTTGGAAGGACATCAAAAGTCATTAACTGTCTCTCCTCTTAGTTGGCATGAATCACAGGCTGTCTTTTGTCATTCATCTTCTTCTGAAGTCTGTCCTTGTCTCCCTGTTACACTCAGAGTTCCTTGAGGGAAGAGAGCTCGTCTTAAACCGACCTGTGTTCCTGATGGCATGTTACACTGCACCACACACAGCACAGCTTTCAAATGTTACTTTAGCTCACGTCCTATTCACCTATGCACCTTCTGATGCATCAGCCTCAACATCTGCACCATTTTCCATCTTCCACCTGTTGGCTTGGTCATTAACCTCAAGTTAAAAGGGTTAATGTAATTACACTCTGTAATATCCCTTTTTCGATGAGCTTCAGATTGAACGTCTCCTTTCTGTTGGTTCTAGTTTAGCCAATTCACTATAAAATCTTCAGATAATGACTAGTTTTAAAAGCCAGTTCAAGCTCTAAAACATATAGAACCTATGTTTCTTTTGTTTTTGAAGGTTTGGACTTAACTGGGCTCTTTCAAATAAGACAATTTTCCATGAATCCTTTTAGAAAAAAAAGACCAGAATTATTTAACAACTTCAAGATGCCTAAATTCATCTAATTGGCAATTCCCATTTTAATATAAAATTCTTTTAATTGGGGAGTTAGACCCATATGTCATGAGGCATTTTTGTACTAAAATACTTGTTTTGCATGTATTTTATACTTTTAAGCACATTTATATCACTGAATAAAGTATCCAATAATAGGAGGGAAAAAAAAAAAGCCTTTTAGGGATGTTCTTAAAAACATAAATAGTCACAAACCCGGTAATGGCTAGATTCCAGAGCGCGCTTGCTAGTTATGTTGTGGGAGAACTCGTTGGACATTTCCCTATGCAAATCAAATACTGTTCCAAGCAGTTGGCTAGATTTCCAGATCAGCTCACAAAAGTCTACTGAACTGGTGATGTGGCTAAGGTAGAAGCCCTGATACCGGAGTTGAGGAGGACATCCTACTCTGTGGTAGCATCAGACCCCCAGCTCTGCAGCCACATCTTCCAACCCTGTCCCCTCTCTTGCTGGGCCAACAAGCAAGAGCTCCCATGGCTCCAGGCTCCTGTGTGTGGCTTCCTTGTCTGTGGAAAGTGGGAGCAGAGGTGGTGGCTTAGGGACAAGAAGCCAGAAGGAAGGCAATTGGAGGGAACTGCAAGCCCAGCAAATTCCTTGGGCGATCCTCTATTTCAAGTCCCAAGTCCTCTAAATCCCCCATTCTGGTTCTCCTGGGGTTCGGGACTGTTTCTCTTTCCCCTGCCCTCTCCTTTACGTCTGACCATCACTTCTCGGCACATCGGCCTACTAAAAAAATGTGTAGGATTCCCTCAATGGCCCTTCTGGTATTTTATGCACTCTGATAGGTTTTCCTTGGGTTTTTGTCACTAGCAACACTGGAAATGAATTAGGAAATTAAAAGGCTTCGCGCTAACCCTTTCTGAGCCTTACTTGGAAAAAAATAAGTAATTAGTGATGCTGTATCTTTGACTAGACAAAAAGTAGTTTTCTACATGAACCCTCCTTTGCCCCCTAACTGAACCCTTCAGGATTTTGCAAGGCAGCTTCCTCATTCTGAAATTCATCTTCCCAGTGGACAGCAGTTCCATTCTGGCTGCCCAGTACCCGCTGTGCTCCCTGCAGCAAGGACCTCCTGATGGACTTGGAGGGGGCAGTCGATCAAGGAACTCAGCTCTCCCGGCAGCGGTAAATAGGATTCCGATTCAATCCAGGCCAACTGACTCTCTCTAGTAAGACACTGAGTCCTGAGAAAGGTGACACATGGGTGCCAAAAGCAAACTGGGAGATCCTTTATCCCAGCATCAGGGCCTTTCTGATTCTGCCAGCAGTGCCTCCTCCACAGACTTCAGGGGCTCATCTGGCTCTTATTCCTTCCTAAGTTTAGAACCTCTGGGGTTCTAATTACATGAGCACTGCCCTCCCCACCCCCCCGCCATAAAGCCTTTTAATGAACCTCTGTTGCATGAGTCAACAAAAGTCAGGTTCATTTGCTGGCATCCAGAAAGCCCAGCTGAGAAAGCACACCATAGCCTTACCCTTTTGTCACATTGCATGCAGCCACGTCCCTAGCCAGGGTCACCCACAGTGCCACAGACCACTGACTGGAATCACCACCTACGCGCTTATGCACAGGTAGCCTCAACTGGTGTCTCTGACTAAGAGCTGTCTGGCAGTCCTTCTGCCTGTCTCCACTCAGTTGTCTGCCCATCTTTATATTGGTTCTTCCCAGGTGACCACTCCTCAAATCTAGACCATCTTCACAGCAGTGACCTTGAAAATCATCTAGTAGACAGAAACCACCAAGTATAATCTTCTCTGCTTTTCTAGCTTAATTTTGTCTTTGCCCCCTTTTCTTCAGACACAGAGAAAGAGCTGTCCCTTCATCTTTCCCGGACCCACTCTCTAGGCTCAAGCTACTCTGTGCCTGTGTCTTATCAATTCCTTTTCTCTCTTTATCTCTCCTTTCCACTGGCTGCCTCTCCTTAGTACCAGTCACCCTGAAGTCATCCTGATTCTAAAAAGGCCCCTTTTCACCAAACGTCCCCTACCAGCTAACTACCTCGCTCACTCTTAGCTTTCTTCCCCCCATCACTGCCTCTGTAACTTCTAAGCGCACCACAATCCCACTGCTGCCAACCTCACTCAATGCTATGGAAACTGCCCTCATGACAGTCACCAGGGATTTCACTAGGCCAAACCTAATGGTTTCGTTTTAGTTTTAGCCCAAAAGATAACTCTTGCAGAAACTGTTGATTATCCCCAAATAAGTTTCTTTTTCCCTTTAAAACAGAATCCCCCAAACATATTCATCCCTCCCATAGGAGATGTGCTCCTATGATTACATTCTGGCCAATGGTATGTGAACAGAAGGGATGACCACAATGTCGGGTCCTGTCCTTTCCACTTCCTGCTGGCTGGGGTGTGGATGTGATGTGGTCCACATTTGCCACATTCGCCATGAGGATGAGCCATATAGCCCACCCGAGGAGGTGGAAAAACAAGATATAAGGAGCCAGGGCTCCAGAGGAGCCCATAAAGCACAACCACCTGCTTTCCCGGTCCACCCCTGAGCTCCGAGAGGCTAACTGCTTAGCTGAAGGTCACAAAGCTAGAATTAAACCCTGACCCAAGCTTAGTACTCTTTTCCTAATGTTTATTTATTTATTTTGAGAGAGAGAGAGCGAGTGAGGGAGAGAGCAGGGGAGGGGCAGAGAGCAAGGGAGACAGAGGATCTGACGTGGGCCCTGCACTGACAGCAGAATCCGATATGGGGCTCGAACTCAAGAACAGTGAGATCATGACCTGAGCTGAAGTTGGACGCTCAAGCAAATGAGCCACATGGGCACCCCTAAGCTTAGTACTCTTTATGGTAGGCTGCTTGGTAAACCGTAATCACTGCTGGGAGGGTGGGCTCTCACAGCCTCTAGTACCACATGTCCATGGCGACTTCTAGCCATCAGGTTTCACTTTAGCCACCAATAACTTAGCTCTGCAGAGTTCTGGGAGCTCAATGTGTACGTACCTTGTTTGGGATTGTCTTTCTCCTCCCGAGGCACTAAAACTTCTCTTTAAAATGCCTGGAACAAGAACATAAAAATATCTTTATATTTTCCCTCTACAAACCTTTTATTTATTTACCTATTTATTAATTTAAAAAAATGCTCCATCCTATAATATGAGCAATTTTACATACTCTAAAGATGGTCATCATTTATAAAAGCATCAGCTGAAATATAATGTTTCGAATTACTGTTTACTTAATGGGATTGTGTAAGGTCCTTTTTCCAAAGAAAAGGTACTAAAAAGGCAACTCTGTTACTAATAGCCAATAAAGGAAAATAAAATATCCATGTCATAATTATCCTAAAGCCCTTGCCAAGATACCTACAAGTTGCCACATGCAAGTTTAAATGTTCAACTTTTCCTCCTCGTTTCCCCACTGACCCTCCCCACTATTGCTACCCAGAATATAAAAAGCTGAATTCATCTCCAAATAGCCAGTAATTAACTTCTTCTAGAATTTGCTACATATGAATGAATATTTTTCATTTCATTCATTTCATTCATTTCATTTCATTCATTCATCAATGAATTTATAACATTCATGTTTTCCCAATCAAATATCAGGATATTATATCTAGCAGGCAGGAATTTGCAGGGAAAAATCAATGTTGGAAACTGAGATCGTTCCAGAAAATCTGGAACACATAGTCACTACTTTGATGGACAATTAAATTTGGAAAGAAACAAAAAAAAATGAAGCTCAATCCTTAGGGTTTAACTTTGATCCTTAGGGAGATCATTTTAAACCTTTTTTTGAGATTTTCATAGTATACTCCTTAATGAGAGAAATTTATTTACACTAACTTTATTTCAAAATATTTCTATCCTGGAATGCCTGGGTGGCTCAGTCGGTTGAGAGTCCGACTTCAGCTCAGGTCATGATCTCACAGTCCATGAGTTTGAGCCTCGCGTTAGGCTTTGTGTTGACAGCTCAGAGCCTGGAGCCTGCTTCAGATTCTGTGTCTCCCTCTCTCTCTGCCCCTACCCTGCTCACACTTTGTCTCTCTCTCTCTCTCTCTCTCAAAAATAAATAAACATTAAAAAAATTCAAAATATTTCTACCCTAATTAATATGCCTTCAACTTACACTTTTAAAAGAATTATTCTTTCCTCTCCATATTCTAACTTCTCTTTTCTTTCAGTTTCAGATTTGTTGAATGAATTGAATCCTATCTTTCCTTACAAATTTTATCCAAATATATCTTTTCTTTTCTTTTCCATACCCCATACCCCAGACTATTTACTTTACTGTTTTAAAGTAAGAGGCAAAATTAACATATGTACTGAATTTATATAACATATTTTTCATAGTACTAAACAATTAAAATATTTATTCTACTTTAGTGTTTGAAATTATAATCTATCCCTTACATAACATAAATAAAATCATACAAAACTTAGTCTACTCCAAGACTAACTTCTTCTCCAGGTCTCTCACCCTTAGAGAACAGATTCACAAGAGGTCACTTCCATTATTCCTGTGGTTATTTAGTGTTTCTCCAAATTAGTTATCTCCACTCCGCAGTTACAAGGTGTATTTGCCAGTAGAAATAATAAAACTATTCATTTGACAGCTAAGGCAACAGCAGACCACAGTGACGGTTGGCCTCTGGGCCTTCCAGAAGGCTAGACAAACCTGTCCTAATTAGCACTGCACCTAGAATATAAACCGCTGCGTTACGCATATGATGGCGGTCACCCGACTCCCAAGCGTGATTCCCAAACCACGACCTACCGGAACCCCACAAGCCGGCAAAGAAAACTTACTGAATGTAGATTCTTTCACAGGGCTCGAACTGGAGCTGCTGGAGTTGTCCGAAATGTCCAATTCCTCATCTAGCTCTGAGTACATGTCTGCACATGAACAGAAGAGTAACAGAACAAAGAAAGAGAGAAAATGAGCCTTGAAACAGACAACATTGAAGAGCGCATTCACGTGGCCACCACTTCACTAGAAATACCTTTGTCAATATTTTCCAAGTTGAAGGTCTCCTCGGACAGGATTTCATCACAGGCCCTGTCTTCATCCTTACCGCAGGGGGCCTGGAAACCCTCGGGGGGCAGGTCTGCGCTTTCTGAAGGTTCGCTCTTCAGGCTGGTGCCTCCACTGCTACTGCTACTTAAGCTTGCCTTCTCAAAGGTGTCCTGCGAGGGAAATTCAACGCACAGCTGTCTTTTCTTCCTTCCTCCGCTAGGACCCAACGCTTATTAGAACATACATTAAAATGCGTGCTAAGCATATATATTTGTGCTAACGTACCACCGGTTATTCCATCTGCGCATTTGTGGCTGAGTTCACGTAGTCCCTCTCTATAAAAAAATGCATCCCTGCAGGCTACCACGGGACAGACAAGAACAGAGGTGCCAAGATGCTCAATGACAAAGGTCTGTGCGATGCGGCAAAAGAAAATGCAGCGCTAAGGGAAGGATACGTATCAGTTAAGTGGAAATTACTGTCACCTTAATAACATTTGCCGTCTCAAACAAACATGGGAATAAAAGGTACAGCATAAGGAGAACAGTCAATGGTGTTGTCATAGCACTGGATCGTGACATGTGGTAGCCACGCTTGTGGTGAGCAAAGCATAAGGTAGGGAATTGCGGGTGTATACTACACTATCCCGTACTGTGTCTTATACCTGAAATTAATGTGAGCTCACGTGCCGGCTATACTTAGTAAAGTACAACAATGCTACCAAATCTCAGCACCACAGTGGGCGAGTAGGACTTAGTTTTTTCAAATTTCAGGAAACTCTGCAGCAGTAGTGGATGCTGCCAGGCCATGGAGAGAGAAAGGCGCCGTCCTCTGAAAGGTGCAGAGACCAGCACAGGCTCCAGTGGTGACCAACGCTTGCTCGAGACAGGTCCAAGGGTTTACTTTTGTTTTGGATGCTTTTTCTGAAACTGAATTGACACCCACAGCCACCAGAGGCAAGTTTCTAAACTCCATGGTGACAGAATTGAAGGTAAAGAAAATCTAAGACCATATGAGCGACGGGTGTTAGAAGTCTGCCTCCGAAAGCTCTCGCGTGTTTCTGTTCCCTAAACAAGACAAAACACGAAAAGAATAGCAAAGACATTTTGTGCAATGCAAACTGTCCCATCAATGTTATCTCTTTTTCCTAAGAGTTTTTTCACGGTACTTTCCTCAAGCTTCCACCAAGATGCTTGGAGATCTTTCTTGCTCCGTTGGAGCTAATGTGCAGTTGAAGCGTTTTCATTTTCTTTGTCGAGTCCTCCATCCAGTGACTGCTTTGTGACTCAGCATTGTTCCTTCCTGTTTTTTGGGTCTACTCCTGTCTACTACTTTAGAACCTAAAATGGAAAATGCTTCGGACACCCTTTGGATTGCTCATGCGTTCTCAGAAATCTTCCCCATGCTTAAGACTCGTAAGGAGCTTCCAATGCCAGCCTCAGCGCTGCTGAAGCTCAGCCCGGACACCAAATTCAGGAGCTCCTTCTAAGGCTCACAACTTTCCTTCCGAACTCACTCAACCCCTTCCGTGTCTTCCTCCTTTTTCTGTCCCAACCCGCAGATCCTTCTTCCTCCAACATCTTCAAGTGAAGTCAGAAATGTACACAGAAATAAATTTAGGGCTTTCACATCCTTATGACTTTTTATTCGAAATCATTTACTGCCCTATTCTAAAGCCCACAACTGTACTTACGACCCTGTAGGGACCCTACACCCAAGATGCAACAGTTGCTATCAATGTTTAAAAAATAAAGAGAGAGATAATTTTTGAGTTGACAAAACTCTATTGCATTGATACAATTAGATGTCAGAATTCATATATCTCGAAAACTGGCAAAACTTCAGCAAAGGCTTTGTTTCTTTTTAGAACAGGCATGGAGAAGACATCAAAGGAAGACATTTTTTCTTTGGACAAATGAAGAGTGTAGAGAAGCTGTGAGTCCTGACACAGGTATCCAAGACTTGAGGAGTTTTGACTTGTAACCAATACCAAAGAACCAGGAACCAGATGGCTTGCAAATCAAGTCATTTGCAACCAGTAAAATTGCATCCATAAGTAATTGGGTGTTTGCTTAACTTCTGAAAAAGGGGAATTCACATACTGAGAGAGATGCTTTTTCAAACTCTGTAAGAGGGGAAGCAATAAAGCGATAAAGCAATGTAGAATGTATAGTTTGTTTTAGTTTGAAAAAAACCCCTCTGTTTCTGTAATCTCCTGCAGCAGTTTTGCTTCAAAAAAATCTATATAGTTCTTGAACTTGACATAAAAGATACGTCACTGTAGACACATTTTCCCAAATGTGATTTCCAGACTTTTTTCTTGTGAATATTTGAGTACCCAACTCATTGCCAACTCACCCCTTGAAGAACTGGAGGCTATTTTAGTCCCTTTTGAATCCCTCCACGCCTTGCACGATGCTTTACACATAGCAAATGCTTAATGAGTAGTTGCTGTATTGAGACAGAAGGGAGAAAAGGGCCAGGGAAGAAGGTGAACTCCCCTACATGATAAGTAGGTTTTGTAACGTCTGTGTTTGTTTTCTGTTTGTTTGTTTGTTTCTTGTTTTTGTTTTTGTTTATCTTGCCCGTTTATCCAGAATCCTGGGTCAGAATCCATCGTGCTGTTTCTCTAAGAGCTGAAGAGACTATCTGGTGATACACCAATGAATAAGAGTGAATGCTTCCTTTCCTTTTTCCCCTTTGCATGTTTGAGAAGTTGTAAAGCTCGATTCATCTGTATTAGAGATGGCTGGCCCGGCAATGACAATCCGGCTCCTCTGTAACCCAGCAGGCCCTGGCTAAAGGCAGAAATGGTTAACTGTTTTTAACCTGAGAGTTGAGGCCATTAAGATGTTTTTGAAAGTTGCCTCCAGCAAGTACATACACCTATTAAAGGGAGCTGGGGGGAGCAGGGAGGTGCAGCCTTGGGGGATGCAATTTGGCTGCTGTCATCTTTTTTACTTTTTGATTACTTAAGATTTTTCTAGGAATAGAAGAGGGAGTTAACTACATTTTTTTTGGCATCTACATATCTCCCAGGAACGGATGGACACATTCTGTGCATCAATATGGCAGCAAGAAGAAGACAATGCAAATGAGACAATAAAATTATCACTGATATGGAAATCATCACCATTACTGGAGACACTTCCTGTCACAGTGCTGTTATAGGCACAATTATGTTTAGCTCGGTTTTGCTCATTATAATGTAATTTTTTATGTGTGCAGCACATTACAATACATTTTCAGTTGAATAGCAGTTCTAACAGTAACAGCCTGACATTGCCTAAATTAACTGCAACAGTAGGGAAAGAATTAAGAGAGCTATTTTATTAAAACTAGTGCAATTTTTTAAATTACCCAGAATGTTTTCTAAGGAGAGAGAAAAGCAAGAAATAAATATAAAACATAACACTAACTATATCCTATAGATGCTTTACTTTAGCACGATAAAGAATGTACTATTTCTTTTGTTCTAAAATAGTCACTCTATTTGAGCTATGTCTTTGCCTAGATTCTCCTATTTGTTTAGTTAATAACATTGACCTTAGACACATAAGTTCAGGGCTACCCACGGCTTGACAGCAATTCACCTGGCTGAGGTGATCTCTTTTTAATGGCAAACCACGTTCTATGCTTTTCATGGAGGATGGCAAAAAGAAAGTCCAAATAGGAGACAGATCATTACCGCATATTATTGCGCATAAGTTCTGTCCCTTAATTTCAAAGTATTAAAAAAATCAGCCAGTGTGATCGAGAGGGCTGAAGGGGCCACACAGACCCAGGCCATAGCTGAGTGGACTGGCCACTTCAGCAGGTGTGGTGAGAGGCTCCTGTCCAGGACCTCACTCTGGGACACTTGGTTTCGCCATCACGGAGAGGTGGGCTGCAGGAGCAAGCTTGGAGCCTGGTCCCTTCCTACGGCAGCTGAGGATCTTTTAGCTGCAAAGTTGTTTGGTGGATACCCCTGTCTATTTTGTTTATGAAATCCTGAAGTATTTCCCTGCTCTTGTGTTCCACATATCAAGTAGAAGGGCAATACGTTCAAATTAAACCAGAAAAACCGGCGTGTAAGGTGCTGGAAATAACTAAATTTACAAATATTATATAATAAAGGAAAAATATTATCTTCAAGTTCGGATATTAATTATTTTTTATTTTGGACTTCTTAAAAACATTCATACAAAGCTAAATGTTTGGCTTTAATATAATTAAATGCATATAATTATGATCCTACTATTATCATGACATTCTCTTAATTAGAACTTCTTAAGAGCACAAGAACATACTAACGAACTATCACCAAAATAAGTAAATTAGAGAATGAATTAATTATAACAATTCAGTATAAAGTTCCACTATCAAATTTACCATGCTTGATAAAGTTTCACTGCCACCCCATAATTAATCTAGTATCAGTAATAGGTTCTCTGTGTTTCCTAATTCAAAGACAGGTTTTCTAGAAGTACTACTACTAATAAGGAAGAAGAGAAGAACAGTGCTATAGTCTGAAGGCATCCCTTATTAAAAATACCGAAGATTTAGTCTACATCAACATTTACTGACCACCCTTTTGTTTCAAAACTGCACATTACCAAAGGAAAAGAACTGAATGTATGTGTGAAAACTGAAATCATTTCAAAGGAGGCCAAAAGCAGGTAATTCCATTTGACATATAGAAGAAGTCATGCACAGAGAATCATCAAGTGGTCAAGTTTTAAGACATTCTCATTTGGATTGCTCAAAAACGAGAAATGCGGTTGAAAACCAGCACTGCTTACGGCATGAACACAGTATGGAATTAGACATGGGTGGTATCAGTATGAGTGAACCATACAAATTAGAATTCTACTTACTGTTTCATTTTTAATATGGAATTACACAAAGAAATGTCTACCTCTTGTCAAAGCACACACTTAGTACCTGACATCAAAATACCAAACTGATTAAGTGCCAGTAAACAAAGAGTTAAAAATCAAGGAGAAGAATCACCATCATCTGTTACCAATCTCCCTGCTTCCGTTCTTAGCTTTCAGTAGTCAACTGGTACACAGCAACAGCTATATCATTTTAAAACATTATGTCACCCTTTGCTCAAAACGCACATCATTCAAGTCTATACCATGGACCACACCAGCCTTATCTCCTCCTCTCACCCCCTGCTTCACTC